CTTTTTGGGTCCGTGTGCCTTCACTACCCGTTGGTGTGTGTGTTGTGACCACAGGCACGTTAGCATTAGCAGTGAAGGCATCTTGCAGTGGAAAACTACCCTCAGGGTCAGCATAGCAAGGAAAGGGACTGCCGGCTCTGATGGGTACAGTCATCTTCATACTGATTTCCTCGACGGGGGTGCCTCGCAAAGGGGACCTCCAGGCTGTGGCCACACACACCACAGTCAGCCAGACTGAGAACTGTGGGTTCCCTCATGCTGCCCCCTCCCACACCTCCTGCACATCCCTCCTTCAAGGAGTGGCCACTCATGGCGGCTGCAGGCCCGCACGTTTGCCAGTTTTGTTACTGATTAACCACGGAAGCTTGCTTCAGTGTAAATCCTTTTTGTAAAAGGCAAGATTGACATAAAGATGAGATGAAGGGGTATTGTTATCTCTTCCCTTCTCTCCTTAGGCACACTGTGATAGATTGGCCTTAAAGGTTCCCTAACCCTTTGGGCCCATGTTAGAGAAAAACTGGCATATTTGTCCCGGTTGCTGAAGTGTACTCCTAAAGATGTTTGCTCTCCTATAATTCGTCAGCGTCTGGCATTTTTAGGGGTGTGATTTGAACGCCCAGATCTAGTCACGTGGTTTTGGGTTGGGGTTATAATAGCTTCTTCAGCGGGCAAATGTGATGACAGAGCAGTCTGAGCTCTCGCTGCAGGAATCTTGGTTGGTAGTATTTACTTTATCACCTGAGTCTTAAGGAAAGCTAGTGCTGTGGCCAGTCACCACTGGCCTGCCTCAGAGAGTGTATTTTGATGAGATTAGAAAAATCGCTCTAGTCCTGTCAGAGCATTTCTCCTGTACCTTCAGCTCCCGACTCCCAAACTAAATTTTAGAAAAGTGGACCATTTGGCACAATATACGAATTAGTAGGGGGAAAAAATCACACAGTACATTGGAAGCTAATTTACAGACCCTAATGGAGAGTTCTTTAGACAACTTAAATTATGCATCGTAAGAGGATTGTCTGTGTTTATAAATCCCATTCGTTCGCTCCTGGGATTGAAGTGTGAGAGGGGCAGTTTGAAATCTTAACAGAAATCATATCACCATTAACTTCTATTGCCAGGGAAGGTGGGAAAATATTGCAGTTCTGACATTTTATCTGGCATTTTGGTAGTTACTTTTTTCTGCTTTACCAAAATATGGGTAGAGAAGCTAGTGATTCAAATCATGACTTTTGAAGAAAACCAGAACACATTGCTAGCCTCTGACCTTGACAGGGGGAGAAGGGGACATTGGAATTGGAAATGGACAGACGGGCCATATTTATTGGCCTTAGGTACCCTCCTTCAGATTGTGGATTTTATAAATGGAAGGCTGGCCAGCCTATATGCTTAGGCTCTAATGTGGTACGCGTACCCCCAGGGGTACAGGAAGAGTTTGGTGGGGATATGCACTGCACCGTGCTTAGCTGTGCCTAATTCTACGTTCTCATGAGTACGAGGGGTACTCAGCATTATGAAAATTATAGAAGGGGTACACATATGTCAAAAGTTTGGGAAACACTGGCTTAGGGGACTGTGAGGATGGTGGTGGCACAGTATTTACTTGTGTTGTCTCAGTCAAGCAACTGGAAAAACCTGTCTGAGTGTTGTGTAGGCAGTATGCCTGAAGAAATGTATTCTGCTGCTAATTACCTCTAAAATGAAGAGTTGAGCAAAGGTTGGACACCAAAGCTAATCACCCACTTCAGTTGGGTTTTGTTTCAGAATCCAGGGGTAGTTAACATTGGTTTGTGTGGTAACTGCTGTCTTCCCCTTAGCATGACTGTAATGATGGCCAACTAGCAAAGAAGCACAAACAGGGGCTCCAGAGTGAGTCTTCACATCCAGGTTTGCTCTTCTGAGAGACTTTCTTTAAAAAAGGGGTGTGTGTGTGCGGGGGAAACACCTACTAAATTGTTATCACTAACTATTTCATAAACAAAATCACAGCAATAAGATTGTGCTTTTGCATCCTTCTTTCTTAAACATTTCTTTCTGTAAATGTTAGCCAATAGGTTAAGTGATGACATCTGAATAATTTGGTGACAGACATGTGAAAAGTTGTGGTAAAAGGATTGGATTGGAGTTGGAATTTTTTTTTTTTTTTCAGTTTAGGTTCTTACGGACACTAGCTGTGTGACCTTGTGTAAGTTATTTAAAATCTCTCAGCCTGAGCCTTCATGTCTAGGGTGAGGGCACTGGTACCACCTTTGCAGGTTTATTGTGAGGATTGAAGACAATGAACCAAACACCTGTGGCCAGTAACTAACTGCTATAATTAGGCAGGCTCGTATTTCTTCTTCACCCTTGCAATTATGGCCCTGACACCCTGTGGTTCTGGTCCTGGATGTGGCTATCCCAACCCCTTTATCACATGCCCTTACGGAAGCTTGGTTTCTGTTTCCAAATGTTAACCAATTGTAGCCTGTAATTTTATAAAATTGTACATATGCATTGTTGGGGTTTAGAGTTGCAGTAATAGGTGGCCATTAGAAAATCCATTTGGGGCATTTTCGAGATCTGTAAGGTGTGTTATTTTTCTCAGTTGATTTAGACTTGGCGAAACTAAAAATACGTTTTAAAAAATAGTGTTTCCCTAAACGCTTTTTTAAAAAGGAGGGATAATTGGAAACTTATAATTGCTCATTAACTCTGGGTGTTGGTATGAACTCTTTTCAATATCTAGAGCCAAGGTGCCTAGCCAGGGTAGGAGTAATGAAGCCAGTGTCCACATTGGCCCCACGTAGCCTAAGGACTTTCTCATCAGGAGGCTTGAGTTTAAGGTTTTATTTAATATATCTAATCATCTGAGGACTCGATAGTAGAACCACCTTGCACTTGCCTGTTTTTTGAACTCTGCAGAATGAGTTTTAAGAGCATGCTTTATATCTACTTTATTGAGAGAGTGTTTTCCTTTTTAAAGAAATGCAATTTCTGAACCATTAGTAGAGATGTCATTATTCTTTTAAAAACCATAAGAGTAAAAGGGAAGCAGGATATATAGTCTCTTGGGCAAAGTTCATTTCATCAGATACTCAGCATGCTGCCTGCTTCTTCTCTCAAATGTGTCTTTACGGCCGTGGTGGAAATACAGACTTATGGCCCGGGCTGTCAGTGCCACTGCCCAGCCTGAGGTGTAGGCCCTCCTAGCGAGGGGGACATATACATGGGAAACACTGTGAGTATTTTGAATTATTTACTTATGGTAACAGCCTGCTGACTATGTGTTTTAAAAAAACATTTGGTAGAACACATGTATTTGAGTCATCTTCTACATAAATACATATGGTGATTGCCAATTTAAAAAAAAAAAAAGCTAGGGTAACATTTAGGATTGCTCATATTCAATATACGGCATCAACTAATACCTTTTGTCTTTAACTTGAAAATGCAAACTCATCTGGCCTTCGGGTGCTATTCCAATGTGGAGAGTATCCCCAGCTCCTCTCTCTTACCGCCCCTGAGACATTGTACGGGCTAGAATGAGCCTGCACACGCAGTGTGCTCTCTCTCCCCATGGGCTCTGTACTTCGCTGTAGCAGCAAGAACACCCTACCTTGATAGCGTGACAGCCTCCTGAAGTGTATTATCATGTATCGTCCTTACATCATCCCTGTCAGGGAGGGATGGCTTGGACACTTTTATGGCTATAATGAAGATGGGTTACTGAACCTACAGCAGACAGATTACATGATTTGCTCAGGGTCACGTGGCTGGTCAGTGGCAGAGATAAAACTAGATCTGGGTCATCCCTGTCAACTGGGTTTATCTACCATGCCAGCGGGATTCTTGCAAGATGGGTGTAGTCATAAGTGTTTAGGGGATGTTTTGCCCTATTTCTCTTAAAAAAAAAAAAAAAACAACTTTAAAATTTAGAATAGTTTCAGATTTACAGAAAAGTTGCAAAACTGGAATAGAGAGTTCTCATATGCCCAATGTCATTTCCCCTATTGCTAACATGTTGTATTAGTTTGGTGCATTTGCCACAACTAGTGACCAGTGTCGATACAGATCGCCTTGGTTTTTACCTCCTGTTCTTTATCTGTTCCAGCATCCAACCTAGGACATCACATCACACTTAGTCATCATGCTTCCTTAGGCTCCTATGGCACTGGACAGGCCTCTGTCAAATGTCCCTTAATTGGGGTCTGTCTGATGTTTTCTCTCATGGTTAGACAGGGGTCATGAGTTTTGGAAGAAAGACAGCAAAGGAAGGTGCAATTTCATCACATCCTATCGAGAGGAGATAGTATCACATGACTTATCCCTGGTGATGCTGCCCCTGATTATCTGGCTAAGATCACGTTTGTCAGGTTCTCCACTGTATAGTTCCTCTCTCCCCCTTCCCCCTGCCTTCCCTTACTGTACTCTGTGAAGGAAGTGACTATGCTCAGACCACATTACTTTGAATGGAGAAATATTCATATAAATGAGATCTCAAATGGAAGACTTGCTTGCTTCTGTCAACTCAGCAAATCCTACTCTCCACGCTTTTTTCTTACATCTGTCAGGGGTGAAAATTGTGGCTGGAGGAGGTGGTCATCGGTAAAAATTCACAGCGGTTCTGAGTTCACTGAATGTGGTTAAGAAAATGCAGATGTTGCCTGTACACTAGAGGGAATAAAATAGCACCTTCGTGGTTAATTACCGTTAGAGAGCCAGGGAGGTTTGCTGCAAAGTGTGAACTTCGGTATAGGAAACACGGTTACAGAAAGGACAGCAAAACTTTGGGATTTGTGAAAAAACTGTGTCAATGAGCTTATACAGTCCCAGCATCTCCTGAATATGAAATCACCTCCCATCTCCCAAATAGGAAACTTGCCACTTGCAGTGTGTCATTTAGTTCCAAACCACGGAGGGTCATGCAGGCACTTAACAATCAGTACGATCAACTATTCCTTTTTGGTGCCCGGTTCTCAGACCGTTCTCGCTCATAGTCCATGTTTCCCCTTCTCTCTCCACAGAATTCGATCCGACACAACCTCTCGCTCCACAGCCGGTTCATGCGGGTCCAGAACGAGGGGACCGGCAAGAGCTCTTGGTGGATCATCAACCCCGATGGAGGCAAGAGCGGGAAGGCGCCCCGCCGGCGGGCCGTCTCCATGGACAACAGCAACAAGTACACCAAGAGCCGCAGCCGCGCGGCCAAGAAGAAGGCGGCCTTGCAGACGGCTCCCGAGTCCGCCGACGACAGCCCCTCCCAGCTCGCCAAGTGGCCCGGCAGCCCCACCTCGCGCAGCAGCGACGAGCTGGACGCGTGGACGGATTTCCGCTCGCGCACCAACTCCAACGCCAGCACCGTCAGCGGCCGCCTGTCGCCCATCCTGGCGAGCACCGAGCTGGACGAAGTCCAGGACGACGACGCGCCCCTCTCCCCGATGCTCTACAGCAGCTCGGCCAGCCTCTCGCCCTCCGTGAGCAAGCCGTGCACCGTGGAGCTGCCCCGGCTGACCGACATGGCGGGCACCATGAATCTGAACGACGGTCTGGCCGACAACCTCATGGACGACCTGCTGGACAACATCCCGCTCCCACCGTCCCAGCCGTCCCCCACCGCGGCGGGGCTCATGCAGAGGAGCTCCAGCTTCCCGTACACCGCCAAGGGCTCCGGCCTGGGCTCTCCGACCAGCTCCTTCAACAGCACTGTGTTCGGGCCCTCGTCTCTGAACTCCCTGCGCCAGTCTCCCATGCAGACCATCCAGGAGAACAAGCCAGCCACCTTCTCTTCCATGTCGCACTACGGCACCCAGACACTCCAGGACCTGCTCACTTCAGACTCGCTCAGCCACAGCGACGTCATGATGACCCAATCGGACCCCTTGATGTCTCAGGCCAGCACCGCTGTGTCCGCCCAGAACTCCCGCCGGAACGTGATGCTGCGCAACGACCCGATGATGTCCTTCGCGGCCCAGCCCAACCAGGGGAGTTTGGTCAACCAAAACTTGCTCCACCACCAGCACCAGACCCAGGGCGCGCTCAGCGGCGGCCGTGCCTTGTCGAATTCCGTCAGCACCATGGGCTTGAGCGACTCCGGCAGCCTCGGGTCGGCCAAACACCAGCAGCAGTCTCTCGTCAACCAGTCTATGCAAACCCTCTCGGACTCTCTCTCAGGCTCCTCTCTGTACTCGACGAGTGCGAACCTTTCCGTCATGGGCCACGAGAAGTTCCCCAGCGACCTGGACCTGGACATGTTCAACGGGAGCTTGGAGTGTGACATGGAGTCCATTATCCGTACTGACCTCATGGATGCCGATGGGCTGGATTTTAACTTTGATTCCCTCATCTCCACACAGAACGTTGTTGGTTTGAACGTGGGGAACTTCACTGGTGCTAAGCAGGCCTCATCTCAGAGCTGGGTGCCAGGCTGAAGGATCACTGAGGACAGGGGAAGTGGGCAAAGCAGGTTAGTGCCCAGGGCTATGGCATACTAATGACAAAGTGGGGGTGTCTGGTGGGTGGGGGGGAGAGGCTGCCTTTTCTTTAGTGTGAACTTGACTCCACATGGAGAAACGTAGAGCTGTGAAGCAGGGGTATATAGTTTACACAGCAGCACAGCTCATCTCCGAGTTCTACCTGCAAAACAAATAGGGCTGTCAGGTGCCCCTCCCCACAAGCTGACAACCCAGGAATTGTTTTGCCCTTAAAGAGAACACACACACACACACACACACACACACACACACACATAAATGTCATTCTTGTATCCAGTCACCCTTGCTGACTTACGACTCTGGTCCTCCTATTTGATGGATGGACGAGGGCAGAAGGGAAGGGGAGGAAGGCAGGACCTTAGTCACACAAACTTCAAGGTTAAGGACTCAGCCAAAGGACTTTCTTAGATTCCCGGGTCCAGCACTGTTATTGTTGATCTTCGATGTTATCATTTCGTCTTCCTTTCCATTAAAGTAATGATTTGCAGGTACTTCTAATTTAACTGTACAATATGTATTCTGGACTCTTTTCATACATGCATATTTCCATCTGTTAGATTCTTCACCATAGTACGAAGCATCTTTATTAGGGAGCATTCAGCATCTAAGCATTAAAAAGAGCAAAAGAATTCAATTGAAAACAGGAGTGTTAATGTTAGAGCACTCACTCATGGGCGTCTTGTTCCCCCCTCTATAAACGATGTCAGGTTCTAAACAGAGTGACGTGGGCTGTGAATAGAGGCAGACTTTTAAATTGTGGCATTTCAATACCGTTGGAACTGGAAAGATCACGCCGCGTGATGTGGTAAGAAAAGTATTTGATTGGCATCAGAACTTGAGTGTTCAGTCTGATTCTGCTTCCTGGCTGCTCTTGAGAGTGTGTCAGCCCCTGAGTCTCAATTCCCAGTTTTATAAAAGGAGGTTAATAGCCGCTGTTAATTTACAGGGTTATCGCAAGAATCAAATGCACCGAGGTATGTGAAGGTTCTCTGTAAAACTGCAGTGGGCTGAAATGGGTTTGGTATAAATTAGATAAGCATACCGACTAACAGATGAGTAGTAAGCAGGGAGGTTAAGTAGTTTGTCCAGGGTCACACAGCTGGACCCAGAATCCATATTTCTTGAATGGCTGGAACCATAAGAGCTCTTTCTAATTTTTTAACTAGATAGTAGAAAAAGGGGAGTGCTTTGGAACTGGAGCTAGAGGAGCAGATAATAGGCAAGCTTGTCCTGAAACTCTACTCCTCCAGCAGTGAGATGAGCTCTGAGGTCTTCTGCTGATAGGTTCGCACCCCAGACCTTCCATGTTCAAGGGCCCTTCTTTAAATGGGAAAAGAGGAAAATGGGATTCAAAGCATAAAATGCGGAGCCTTGTTTAACTCTCTGCCCCGGTGAAGGAGCTACAAGGGTCTCCTGGAGTGAGCTCGCTCCAGCTCATGAGCACTTGTAGGAAGTGGAATGTCAAGAGCGTCGTGAAGCTAAAGGCGTCTCGGCTTTCCCAGGCGTACGCAGGCCCCACATGGAACTCGTAGACATCTGTTTCCAGTCATTTAGTAGCCATTGAGGTGGTAAAGAGACTGTAATGGGAGCTAAAGAGGTGACACTCTGGTGCCAGCCAGTTCAGGACATACCAGAACTCGGGTGGTGGAGACTGGCCTTGAGAAATTTGGATCCTTGGCCTTTTAGAAGAATAAAGAATTTGTCTTCCTTTAAGAAGAAGAGTAAGTGCAGAAGAAAATGTACAACCAATTTTTGTCTGATTTTTGTCAGTGAAGATTTTCCATTAAGTTGAATAGCAGACCTTTTAGTGTTTGTATAATTCTAAAAGATTGTATAAACATATTTTAAGGGAGATTTAGTCCTTAAGTTTTAAAAACATGAATGAAGAAACGTCATGGAGAACGGGGGTCTGGGAGTACTTTGAGGGAGCCTGGTTTCTGGGTTTAGGGTTTCCATTTTGCTTTGACATGAATGGCTCCTCTGGACAGTCAGGAGCACGTGTGGCCTGATGTGTGTTCTTTACTTTTAAACTTGTGGCCGTCGCTATAGTGAAGGTTCCTAAATTGAAAAAAACAGACCTGAGGTCACAGTGTCAGATCTCACCTCACCCACATTAAGTACCCAAGGTTCCCAAGAGATGTTCTGTAATGACTTCTCTAAACCAGAAGTCTTGTGTTCTGCACACTCACTTCCTGACTTGCTAACTGAAGGTCATGTGAGCCTGAACTGGAGCCATCGAGTTATAGAGCAGCCAGTCCAGAACACAGCCTTGGTGGAGAACTGTGGTGAGATGCTTCTCTGGAGGGCTGGCATTGCCCATATGTCACTCACTCAGACCACATATAAAATCCCTCAGCCCGTGGGTCCGTCTGGAAGAGAAAAGGGGAGCCATACCTTTCCATGAGTGCCAGCTTCTGGTGTAAAGGGTTTTGCCCTCTCTCAGGCACTCATAAAACTTGGTGAAGAAACATACAAATTGGCAGCAAGATGTCGGTGAGTGATGACCGTAGTGGTTGCAAAGCTGAGTTTCTAATAAGCCCTCCTGCGTGTGACACATGTCTGCTCTCGGAGGGAAAGCAGCATCCATCTCACTGTAGTTTTGATGTCAGAAGATACTTAATTCCACAAGCTCTTTCATTCATCTTCATCTTCTGGCATTTGAAGATCCCCCCATTAGGGAGCAGCCCAGGATTTAGTTTCAAACCACTTTTTGATAACATCAACCAGGAAATAGCCCTGATGGAGAGGAGAAGGGTAGTTTTCTTTCTGTTTCTGTCACTGGTCATGACACTGATGAGTCTCTTAGAGTTGAAGGTTTCTTGTCTGTGGAAAGAGGACAAGATCATATGTATAATTTTCAACCTGAAACCTAACATCTGTCTGTGAAATGGTCCTAACTAGAGGTACATGATGGTATCCTATAAATAAAGAGCTAATATGAAAATTGTTGTTGGGCCCTCACACCAGGGCAGGGGAGATCCTAAGGCTAAGCCCCCCTGACTTGACTCCAGGTCCCATGATGCACCACAGACTTTGATAGGAGGGAGATTTTCATACACATTTTACTAATTTTCTTTCATCTCTGACACTTCTATTATAGAGAAAGGGCAAATAGCAATATTAAAATATTTCCTCTAATTCTCTTTTAATGTGCACAGATTTTGTGCACCAGGCCACTAGTAGAAATATAAAGAAACAGTGGTGAACCAGTGTGGAAACCACAGGCTCCAGTGTTGGAGGCCATGATGCATTTACATTTAGGCTAGTTCCCAAAAGGAGGGCATCTTTGGTACTTGCTAGAGTTAACTTTGAATGTTGTGATTCTATTATGTCTTTATTCATGTTGGGAGATAGGACTAATTCTAACCAAATGCAGGCAGTAGGGACTGTTTCCTCAGTGTAGGCATTTCTGTGTCAGGGAATGTAGCACATGGTAAGTATGAAACTGTACATATTGCACGGAGATTGTACATATTGTGTTTTTGCACTGCTGCTGTAGTCTAGTCTTTGGTTACAATGCACCAGCCTCAAGCACTCTGCATCTGCCAGGCTCTTCATTCTTACCTGTTACAAAGCCCCACATCTGAAGTGCCATTCATGGAGAGAGTGGCTGCCTGGATCTTGTTGACAGCAGTGAAGGAACGTTGACACAGCTGTCAAAAGGGGTTTTCTGTGTAGAGACCGGTACACTCCTCCCATGAATTCATTTCCCTGGAAAGCAGGGACATCGCATTCGGGCCGCTCTTCCTGGGCCTGCTAGTTTCCCAGGGCACCCGTGGCCACCTCTGGCCGCCGGCTAGGCCTGGGGACAGAGCATGTGTGACTCTCACTTCAAGCAGTTGCATTTATAAGTGGCTTTCTGGAAGATCTCTTTTGGCCACTCATAGAGCTTATGTGGAGCATAAATAAATGGGATGAAAAATCACCAGAATTACCACTAGAAATTCTTAAAAACTTTAAGCTCCTTTTAAATGCTTCTTTTTAGAGTGTTCATAATGCTCAATATTCAACATCTAATAAAGAATGTTTCAGAGCAGAGCCCCAGGGACAGTGAGCTGAAGTGGGTGGCTGGCTCATGTCCAGCTGTGATGAGCCTGCTTTAGAAATCAGACATAAACTAAAGCAAGCATCCTGAGGGCTCTTTACAGAAACCAGTATCTGGAGTGAGTCTGACTCTGGCCTCTTAGTCTTACGGAGCTCCAGAAGTACGAGGGCCTATGTTTTTATTCCCCAAACAAAAACAGACCATGTGAGAATGGAATAGGACATTTGAAAGCAAGTTTGTCCCAGAAAACCAAGCATGTAAGATTACTGTGGGTCCTTTGCTTCATCCTTGCATGTAAGGCAGTCTTTTCCTCACTATCACTACTGCTCCACCTCTCCAACCAGGTCATGCATTTCTTAGGGGTAGAGAGAGTGCCTATTTTATTTACCTCCATGCCCTGTGCCCAATGCACTGTAGGTGTTCAATAAATGAATTTCATTTAATGAATTCAGGCTTTTCTTGAGCACTTGTGACTAATATGAGGCCTCCCATTTTGCCAGGCAGCTCGTCCAACCTTAGAGCCCACTCCATGGCTGAAAAGAGCTTGATACATGACAAGGGCATACCAAAAACTCCGTAAGAAGCAAGGGCAGAAAGGCCAAGAGTCCACAGTGATCAAGGGGGTGGTTGACCCTTTTCGGCAATGCTCCAGGGCAGGATTTCTTCAGGGGCTTCATAAGACCACAGGCCCTATGGTTTGAAGGAAAAGGATTTGGTTCAAGACATCAGAAGCAAGACAAGCCTGTTCCTGAAGCGCATCCCTCTGGCGAGTGCCTGTACCCTTGGCTGCTGGTGTTTTGCTTCTTTCTCTTCCCACTAACAGATGTGGACCTTCCTCTGTAATTCTAGATATTCTGTTGTTTTAAGAACCTCTTTCTGTGTGTGCTGAAAT